ACAGTAAAAGGATTTGTTTTAAAAAAAAATCTTCTGCATCATTACCTTTTCATTACTGGCAGGGCTAGGAGTAATGTTAAATCTAAAGCAATGTGAGCTGACCTACATTGCTACCCAGACTTATCAGTGTTTTATTGTCTTCCCCTACTGCAGACCCAATTTTTAAGGCTCTGTCCCAAATAAAATAGCATTCTACAAGTCAGCACTTTTGTGACGTAATGCCGTTTTGACTGTCGGGTCGCAGGCTCGGCAAAAGTGTGCATGTCAACCGTAAAGGGGGCATCAAGAGCACCCTTCAGAAACGTAAGTCCACTAGACTGTAAGTGCATATGAAGTGTGCCATTTGGGATAGGCCCTAAATGTAGTGACCATATGGGCCATAATGTGGCATAATATTGATTACCACACAAATAATTTGGACTATTTCCCTGTTTTCTTAAAAGTAAAACAAAAAAGATTTAAAAAAATGAAGTTTAAGATGAAGCACTTACCATTAAAGTAAACGGGGCAACTTTTGGGGGATTATAAACATTGATTCTTCTGTAAAACTATATTATTTTAGCTGTAAAGTTTTAATTTTTAAGGTTTTTGGAATTTCATTGTCATGGCAAACGAAGATGTAAAATTAGATATAGCTTTACACAGAAAAGGTTAGTAAGCCATTTGATCAAACTAAAGAAATATTAACACGCATATTGTTGACATCTGTCTTTACTGAAACAGAATTTAAAGTGTGCAGATTGGCCATAGAAAAGGTGAGAAAATAATGTAGCAATACATTTAAGTGAAATAAAGTGAAAATACATTGCTGTTGTAACTGACACATTGTATTAAACCTTTGAATATTTATTTAGGGTGCAATACAACATTTCAGACCTTTACTGTGAAACCAATGTCATTTTCTGTGGGATAATGTCAATTTTACATAAATTTGTTAAACAACTTGAACAAAAATCGTGTACTATGTGGAAATAATGTATAATTCCATCAGATAAGTACTTAATTCTCTTGGACATTTGCTGAAACACTATAATAATATTAATTGTATCATACAATCATATAATATATAATTTTATCACTTGCCTGGTGTACCTACATGATTACCAATTATTGCTTTATTCAAATTAAGTTTCAAGTGATGTTAAGTGGCAAAGATTAAGGGTCTCCCTGTTGCAATTATCATAACGAGTTTTAAGGATGGCTCTCCTTGCTTGTGTCAGTGGGAGTTTATGAGATTTCGCATGCCGTTATTAGCGACTGTCGAAACACAAATATTTAGCAGGAGCTCTGGCACACAATGAGCCAGTGGAGTAATGGAATGCGAGTGTTTTGGCTGACCTTGTTAGGTTATTTGTGTTGGAACACAGTAAGTGATGGGAACAGCAGTGCCCCCCTTCCAGAAATGATCCAGGTGTGTGTGTGTGTGTGTGTGTGTGCGCGCGAGAGAGAAAAATGGAGACTTAGTCCTGAGTTCAAACCGATGAGGGCATCCTGTCAGGAGGACTATTGTGTTTCCCCATTCCATATTAATCATCATCATCTAAAGGAATAAGACACAAAAGCCCAAATGTAATGTCAAATGTTTGTGTGCAAGCATGTGGTTTGTTTTTTTGCACTTCATTTAATATTTGTGTTCTCAGAGGACATTTCTTGCCATAACTTAAGCTTTCACAATGTTTCATTTAGTTGTGAAATAAGTCTACTATGCAGAGGTGGGGACTTGTTTTTAAAACATTGTCTAAATAATTAATCTGTAACGCTTAGCTGTGCATGATGTGTACATCCAGTGCCGTCTGTGTGGGGATAATTAACAATTTCTATTTGCTTTATCGCCAGAACATGTTATACACAGTGCTGCACTTCTTGGTGCTGTGTTAAAGAAAGGGCATTTTGTCATTTTCATTTCTGCTTTTCCTCCCTTCATCGGCAGTCCCACCACGCACACCAAACCCCAGAGCTACGGATTATTTCCTTTAAAAAACGGCATTGGCCACGGGAAAAAAAACCAGAAGCTCTGTAATATATTGTTATTCAATCCATCTGACTTGTTTCTTTCCATCTGTCTCCCATGACACCGATACCTCATGTGTTTGCCTAGTACAGAAACATGAAACAGAAGAATCGTGTTTTTTGACCTATTCAGATGACTTGACCGAGTACAGTCGTGTCACTAATGCATATTTAGTTTGGATCTTCATTCTACCGATGATTCTACACTAAAGCCTGTGTTTTTATGCACTTGCTTGTAGCCAACCTACAGCAGAGGGATGATTTGTCTGTTGTCTGTTACAGTGAGGCTATAGCAGACGGTTAACATGCTGTTGTGGAGCGAGGGCACACTGCTGTTCTCCAGACCTGTGTGTGCATGTGCCTGTGTGTGTGAGGCACTACAGTTTCATTCAGAATGTCTGAAACCATACCAACCAAGGTATGCATATACATAATGTTTTTTTAAGAGTTGGACAATCAATAATCCTTTTCTACCTGATATACAATAAGATTAAATATTTTTTTTTTTTAATATACAAAAAATTTAGATGCTAGCACATTTTTTAAATTGAATGGATGGATAGATGGATGGATGGATGGACAGACAGGAATATTTGATTGATACATAGATATATATGGAGAGACAGAATATAGATAGTTTTGAATGGACAGACAGGAATATTCGATGGATGGATGGATGGATGGATGGATTGATAGATAGATAGATAGATAGATGTGAGATGTGTGGTATTTTTGCATGTGTTCCGGTCACTCCAGCTCATTCTGTACCTGGCATTTAACTCTGGACGAGTGGGTGGAATTGGAGGAGTGGTCGCTCCATATATGGTCCCACTGGGTTTCCTGCGCGGACCCTCACACACTACCATAAACACTCTTCAAGCCATCGTGTCTTTCTCATTTCAATGAGGAGACTGTGAGAGGAGGGGAGGGACGTGCTTGTGCGTGGGTTTTTTTTTTTAACTAGTTGACACTAGCCAGAGAAGACGGCAGCATCCTCTGTCCCGCACCATCTTCAAATTTTGCGTTATGATATAAATAGTCCTTCATATGAACGCCAAAGGATCCGCATTCTTAAAGCAACCTGTTCCATCCCTTTTTCCACGCGTTTTCTTCAATGCTTTGACATCTGGAATGTGCTGTTTTCTTGCAAGCGTTGTTTCCATGCCAGCATGGGAACTGCAGTGTCTAAAAGGAAGAATCTGAGAAATGATGCGATTTCTTCGGTGGCAGCCAAAGTTAGGTGAGTGACTGCTTTTGTCAACTCGTTTTGGGTCATGCACTGCATGAAGCCCATCAGCTCAGCTCAGCTCTGCATTCGTACGTGTGTGTCTTCAGAGCTCTGCGCGCGCTGTCACTGAACTTACAAAACGGGGGTCTGGATTCTCATTCATGTGCGAAAAGAAAATTCAGCCGTAATATTTGAAGAGCAGACGGCTCATTTTTAAGATAGATGTTACGGCTAATTCACCCAAAATAACGTTTCATTATTTACTATCCCTCATGTTGTTCTTGACCCGTACTATATTTCGCAGGGGGAAAACATCGGAAGTGTATGTCTTTAAATGCAATGGCTGGTGAATGAAGATGTCTAGCCTCATAAAAAAATCATATGTTCATAAAAGTATTATACAAGTCTTCTAGAGCAATAACGATTATGTAAAGTCAGAGTGCATGACAGAATTCATGAAAGATTCGTTTGTGTTGAGTCTTTCCATTGAATCATTCCTACTTTTATGGCTCTATGTCTGCATCTCGCTGAACCAGTATCAGATAAAGTGTATAATCATTTTTTTTTTCACATTTTTTTAAAATATTTTTTTTATTTAATAGTATTTTGATACTATTATGATGATTTTGCATTCTTAATTCAGTTACCAAGACAGGCAAAGAAAATCTTCAGAATTTATCTCTTTGTGTTCAGCTAAATAAAATAAAATAAAACAAAATTTAGATTTTTTTGGGTGAGCTTTAAATAAAGGCTCCCAGAACTTACATTTATTTATTTAGCTGACACTTTTATCCAAAGCAACTTACAATTGCTATATATGTCAGAGGTCGCACGCCTCTGGAGCAACTAGGGGTTAAGTGGCTTGCTCAGGGACACATTCAAGTCTCACAGTGGATTCAAACCTGGGTCTCTCACACCAAAGGCATGTGTTTTATCCACTGCGCCATCACACCCCAACTTCATATATTTATTCATTAATTCATTTTATTATTTACTCTTAAGTGTAGAAAAAACTTTTCTTACCTAAATTAACTCTAATACATATGCAGATGCGAGAATGCTGTTTCAAAATCCATTTTAAACTTCCGTTTTATTCTACAATTCTGCTTGACTACCTTAAGCTATTTTGTTGCTGGTCTAAGATGGTCTAGCCCATGCTGTTGGACCATCTACCAGTCCACTAAGGTGGGTTTTCTAGCAGGGCTGCCTATTAAAGTTATCTTCTCACCTGTTCCAACTGTAGATCAAATCATTGACACCGTCCTTCACCTCTTGCAACAGGCAAGTAGGCACAAGACTGACTCTATCTGTCAATTATCTGTGACTGACTCGTGCTGCGCCTGGTGTTTCTGTGTCACAGTGAATTATATTGTCATAGGAAAACAGACTTGCAGCATTGTAAACTAGAGAATGATAGTCACGACAAGCATTAAATCAACATGTTATTTTAAGACAACTTAGCAGCATGTTTTTATTATTATTCATGAAAACCTCTTATTGATTGACCCCTAGTCTTGCCTAGACCTATTCTTGCATAACTAGTGTGTGTTTAGCTCTCATGTGTATCATGTCTGTCATAATTCATAAGATGGCAGGTGGTTCACCTTTTCACCCTAATGTCTGGGCCTGGATCCTCGGGGAGGCTGTGAGTCATCGCATCCTTAATGTTCACATGCAGAATGGTTTGTGATTGTTGCATTCGAAAAGAATAACTCCGGCACTGTCATTCCTTGTAGATAGATGACATTGAAATGACCTTGTCGGCTAAATCCTGCTGTACATACATACAGCATTCAGGCATGGATTGAGGTGATGAATGGGATGGCATTCCTTTGCCTTTGTGTGTGTTTCTTTACCCTGAATGAGCGGCTGTTCAGTATGCAGGGCAGGTTTATTTGTGCAAACGAAACGGCTTTGCATGCTGAGTAGAAATGACCCATGTAACAGAGAACGGTAGACAGCATTAGGCAGACACAACATGTTAACAACATGAATAGATACTCAGTTTTGAGTAATCCAATATAAGCAATATATATGTAATCCTGATTTTGATTAGTTATGATCAATTTCTTGGTGAAAGTCTCTAGTTGATTAGCTGTAGGGCAGTGTTTCTCAACCAGAGGACCGGGGATCACTAGGGGGCCTCAGCACAGCTCTACGAGGGCTGCAAGGTGGCTTCAAATAAATTAATATCAGACAAAACAAGGTTTTCATATTTGTTATTTTAATAGTTCCCTTAACAGCGGCCATTTTTATGTACGAACCACGGTTCTCACGATCTTGGACGGTAACTAGAAAAGTCATGTAATAAAAATGTTTCTCAAAATGTTGCCAGTCAATAGATTGTCTTGGAGTCCAAAAAGGAAAACCATTGCTCTAGGGGTTGTCTCTATCAAAATAAAGTGCCCATAAAACTGCCTTGAATGAAATGAAAGCAAGTTTCATTGGAGTAATTCAGACGTGGAACCTGTGCCCTGCAGGAAGAAACCACACATTTGCAAAGGAATTAGTCATTGGCCTGGGGCAGTTGTTACTGTTGTTATAGTCTGTAAATTATAGTTATTTTGAGCAAAGAAAGAGGTGTTGTGCTATAGAGTAATTGTCAGCCGAAGCCAAATTTAAAACCCTGTCACTTTATGATTAGACGCCTGACAGAGAAATGGCTTTTATATCATAAGCTAGTCATTTTCAACACAGATTGGAATAACAGCACGCTTTGTGCTGACTTACTATTGAACATCTATTTCTGTGTGAAGGCATTCTCTGGTAATCTGCTCTTTGTCCAGACACTGGGTCATGACCACTGAGCTGTTCAAAACCAAAATCTGTAGGCTGACCATGTTCTGTGAATACACACAGGATCAGTAGTCCCCCTGCTGACTCTGACATGCTAAAGACAAGGAAGTATTCTGCTCTCAGCCTGCACTACTTTTAAATTCTTCTCAGCTTGTGCATTTGTAGAGTTATTTTTCCGACATTCTCAGGTTCAAACTAATGGCCCCTATTTGTGTAGCAATAAAAAAAAAACATTCTACACAGAATTACTTCATATGGCTTATCCAATGGGTTATTCCTGTTGGTCTTTCTTTCATTTGGTATTTTTTTAGTACAGTTTGTCATTTTTAGGCTGAATGCTTTCAGGGCCAGTGGGTCAGCATGGAGAGCCTGGTCTGTACAGTGTTTGTATGCTAATCCTGAGTGATCTGCGGAGTTCCACTTGATGCTCATCCACTCTGATTTATGAGCTGAGAGGCTGAGTCACCGGCTATGCTATCACGCCGTCTCATGTAGACAAATACATGCATTTCTATTTTGTGAATCTTTAGAGGTTCAGAGTGTTTTGTCGACACGTTTACCTTAAAAAATGTTTCACAACATACAGAGATCCAGTTGTTATTCCTGTTTGTAGTGTGAAACCTTAACATCAAGATGGAAAATAGGATTAGCAGAATTAGATGAAGATATCAAGAAGGAATAAGCAGTCGGACTTGTCTTAAAATCATTGGCAAACTAAACTGGGTTTTAAAGCAGAAGGTTTTAAAACCTCCACATTGTAAAAGCCTATTCACATCACAGGCCCCACCTGACACTTCATGGGGTTTTTGTCGGATATAGATTTCACCGATTGAACACGTTGAATCGGTGCTTGTCGGGTCGTGGAATGTCTGAGAAGTGACATAATCTGGTGATTGTCCGCGTCTTACGTGTGTGGAGTGAATTGTCCTTAATACTTAAACGCATACCTCTGGTCTTTAGTGACTCTTAAAGTCATTCACTACCCTCCTCCTCATTCATTTTTTTAAGTTAGACATCAGCCTTCTTAGTATTCCTCAATTTCACTATAAACAAGAAAAAAACAATTATAAATGAAAGCCTGTTTTCCCATTATTTGTGTAGAAATTGTAAAGGTTTGCTTACGACCTGAGGTGTGTTACAGTGTAATTATATTTTTTCTGCACATCAATAATTAAATCCTCGCTGACTAAATAAGTCCAATTCAGCTTTATTCCACAAGGTGAGAATGTCTGATACACAATGATAAAGTGACATTTTCACTCATAGTTACCGCAGGTAGAAAACAAAAGAATAGCGTCACAGGGTGACGGCAAGGCACGTCCTCAACGCCGTAATGAAATGACGGAGAGGGGGATCGGAGGAGGTTCAGGTTGTGGACGAGACGAAGAAGAAGTGCCAAAGAGAGGCTGGAGTGGCAGATGTAGATGGCCTGGTGGCGCAGACCTAGAGCCGTCCAGTACCAACAGCCCACGGTCTCTTGGAGACCTAGGCGTCATCGTGGCGACGAGTACAGGAGGTGGAGCCAGTGTACCTGAGAGCAGAGGTGGAGGTGGAGTGAGGGAGGACAGAGGTGACGCCGAGGGGAAGGAGGAGCCTGCTGTAGCAGAAGGGGTGGAGGGACGGAGTGTAGTGGACGGACCGTAAGGCTGGAGGCGGAGCCACGAGATCCTCATGCCCGGGTGCTGTGGATGGCGGACTGACCTGCATCTCGAAGTCAGTGGGCCTCCCCAGAGACAATGTAGGGCAGTGAACATCTATCAGCGGCAGGGCTGGAGGACTGGCTGAGCTGGGTGTTAAGGTGATATCAGACAGGTTAAAGGGTTAGTTCACCCAAAAATGAAAATTCTGTCAGTATTTACTCACCCTCATGTTGTTCCAACCCTGTAAAACCTTCGTTCATCTTCGGAACACAAATTAAGATATTTAAGATATTAAGATCACTCCTGCATACTAGTCCATAGGCTTCTTGAGTGAATGACTTGCTGTCCTCGAAAAGTCATTAAAGACATCGTTAAAATAGTCCAAGTGACTACAGGGGCTCAATCTTAAGTTTATCAAACAACGAGAACACTTTTGTGCGCAAAAAACAACAAAAATAACGACTTTATTTCAACTATTCGTTTATTTCTCCCTCTGCGCGAGTCAGGTTACTAGTTTAATAGCGTAAGCTTCTGTTATTGTACGTCACACGCATCACACACATGACCAGCGTCAGC